ATGCTTTATTAGGATTTGACGATTAAAGACATTTAAATGTTTATTAAAATCTTATTTTAAAGGAATTGAAAACTTTATAAATATTATCAATAAAAATGTAATAAAATTCTTTGAAAATGTATTAATCGTTTGTCTCATTCACTTCATATTGAAATACAGTCGGGAATTGAATGCAAATATTGTAGTGAATGAAAGAATATGATTGTTATATTAAATACTGCCATTTGATCCGTTATCTAATCGTTTGTTCAAAACAAATATTGAAATGCGATTTCGTTGTTATATATAGACAGTAGAGTTGAGTATTGAGGGCTGGGCTGTGCCGCACATCCCGTGGTGCCATTTCCGTCCAAATTACCATTATTTGATGTTAACGATAGTTTTTGGCCAAAATACATGAACTAATGTTGTCATACATTCAATTCATTGTCCAAACAAATCAACAAAAGTGTGTTATTGTTAGCACTCTTTTTCAATGGAAACACAAATTCACAAAATTATTTATTACAAACACTTGCGATACAAATGAAAACGTGATTTAAAATCTTTATTTAACTTATGGTTGGCATCAATACATTATACATCAATGGATCATAACTAGGGTTAGCACATATTAGAACAATAAATGCCTGCCATTCATACACCAACACTAAAACAATGTATAATCCCTCAATTAGTTAAATGCATTTCAATCATATTACAATTAGTGTGAGATTCATATAACATGATATATTTGACAATTGTTTTAGTGTTATGAATGAACAGTTAATTATTCTTCTGATATCGCACTCCTATTGACAGCCATTATAAGGACATGAGATGAAAAAATTGATACAACGGTTCCGTTTGTTTGGTGTGATTATATAGAGGGTATTTCAGCACAATTTCTATGATGGTAATGTCCGGACCATTCATATTATGTACATCTCTTGCCCGTCCTTCTCATCATAACATGAAAGCAATTGTATTATAAATGCGAAAGCGTTTCAATCGAAACAACAAAATATTTTTGCCAAAATTATAGCAAAACTAACAAAACTTATCGAATTCTTTAGGAATTAATATATATATGTAACCAAAAATATAAGCAAATCATAACGAATACCAGAATAACATATAGAATGGCAAGAATTTTAATTCAAATATTTGAATACCTCTTAATTACTAAATATTTACTAACAATTACTAAATATTTTATCCGTTTATTCAGTAGAAAGAGATTGTTATTTAAATTATAAGTTATGGTCAAAACTGATCCAAATATTTATAAATTATGACAATTTATAGCAAATCCCTATAAAAAGCATTTTAGTCTCAAAATTGTTGTAAATTTGTTCAATAAATACCGATTCATATAATAATCAATTATTTATATATACTTTAAAATTTAAAGTTAAAAACGGGTAAAACTGTAATTCAAATCATTATGAATTCAATAGTGATTTAAAACTGCAGTGCGTTTTATGAGATAATTATGTGACAAATATTGCATATATTGTTGACATACGAAGCACTCAATTATATAATATGAATGTTTTTGCAAACTTCTGAAAACAAAGCCATGATTTAAGTCAATCACTAAATATTAAGTTTTCGTCGCCATTGCTATTGTTGTGAATAGACATTGATATTGGTGTCCATTTATGGCGCTGTTATCTCTTGAACTCTCTTCGCGTTACAACTTCGGCATAGGATGTGGTCGTCGAGTGGGAAACATCCGCGACCTTCAGCTTCCGATGACAACAACAAATCGCAATCCTTTTCGATAAAAAATAGCAGACATTATATTTACGTGTTTTGATAAAAGTTATACAACTTTTACTTTAAAACAATTGCGCCCCTAATATGCAAATCAAATTCAATGTTTGCATTCAATTCAATGATTCACTTATTTATTATCAAACGATTAAATACCCCGAGAAATGTAAAGATAATAAATCAAAATAAATGTTTCGATAAATTTGTTTTGAAATAATAGATGAAATAAAAGCATTAAATCATTAGTTTATTGCTTTTATAATCATATCTAATATGTTATATGAAATTGAAATTCTCTTTTCAAAGGCAAATATTCTCCGTTAATCTGGCAGTCATTCAATCTTCGCTCACATTTGTGTGACTCGTATGACATCTAATCAAATAATAACTCTTGAGTTTAGATTAAGAATATATACAACAAGAATACAATTCTCACTCTTATACTGGATGTGCATTAATAACATGTTTTGGCTCCCAATTACACTATTATTCAATAAAACTAATGCAAAACATTATAATTAGAAACATAATTATGCAAAAATAACTTTGATATAAGGTTTTTACAAAAAAAAATAGTCTAATATTTTTATGCTTTAATCAATTTTATGGTTAATTTTGTGTAACATTTAGTTTTAAAATAACACAAATTTTGTTAATAACTAATTTAGCAATTTTTATAATGCTTGAATTCTTGAAATGAATTCTACTTTAACTTAACATTTCACACAAGTATTATTATTGTTAAGTAAATACTTATTCAAGTATTGCAACTCAAGTCATAATCTCTAATTTCTTAACAAATTATTAGATATATTGATAACATGTTTACAAGTTATTATTTGAAGTGAAATTACTTATAATTAATAAAAATAATTATAAATGTTGTCCTAATATACAGTAAGCTTTGGTAAATCGGACTCAATCTTAACTATACTAACAATGATTGACAGATCGCAGGCTTTTGTCGCGCTTTACAATTCTGTTTGACACCAAATACAACTCGAATACATATAAGACTATTAAAATGTGTTGTTTGGATTTAATTTCACAGAATTTTTATAACTATAACTAAATATAAACAGCAGAACTAATTGAGACCCAAATTGTAAAATATATTAAAAGCAATATAAATCTAAAGACAAAACTTACTTCACATTTATAACAGTTGACGTGAAAACTGCGGTCCAACGCAACCACTCTAACCGTTTCAGTCTTTCCCGATTCGGGAACAATGGGTTCTTTGCAAACACAACAACGCGGAGCAAACTTTCTGTGAACGTGAATACAATTGAATGGTTAGACAAATACACTTTATGTGAATATAAACAAAAACGTGGTCTTCATCGCAATGTTGTCTCACTTATGGAAATCGTCGATACAATGAATTTGATTCGTCGCGTCGACAGTGAATGGGACCCCATCTAAACATTTGCCACAAACAACACACATGAAGCAGTTTGGATGGTATGGCTTCCCAGTGGCGCGAAGTATACGATCCAGAATTGGTTTCTCGCAAACACAACACTTCTCTAACGTATTCTGTATTACAAACAAATCATTCATTAAAATCTTATCTATTATTATAAACTCCATATTTCTTACCAAATAGTCTTCTTCGCAATAAGGCTTTCCGTCCATTGCATAGAATGGTTTGCCTCTCAATTCAGTGTCTGTGAATACAAATCAATTACTAATCAATTGTTGGAATTCACTCTTAAAACAACTCTAAAAGTTATTGCAACTAAAATATACTAATCAACAGATTATACACACTATTGATATGATTATTTCAAATGCCAGAAAAACTAAATAAACACATACCTAACAAATCTTAATATTATATTATTATTATAATATACTGTATATTTATTTATAGTATTTTTATGTAATCATTATATCGATATATACATTAAAAGTGTTTCTGTGAAATTGTTTCCTCAAATATTTTTTAATTCAATACACTGTAAATTATATTTTGTCAATAATTAAAGTTTAAAATTAAATAATCTTTATAAAATACTATCATTATTAACATAAATAGTAATCTTTAATTACAATCGCAATGTAATGCATATTTGTTTTCTTATATCGTATAACATGTACTCATGGTGCATTTGTGTGAAATGCAATTTAAATCTCCTTGCTCACATCAAAATATTTAGCTAAAATTTATCACCCAAACAATATCTGATGTAATATGCCTAATTTTAACATGATTTTAAATTGCTAGATTTTTATTTTTCTAATAATTATTACCGGTATAAATAATTGATTTGTTTATGATATAAGAACAACAAATATTCCTAAATTAAAGTAATAAATGAATTTGAATCCATAACTTAATGGCAATATTAAGTGACATTTTAATGTCAAATTCGTAGACAAACAAAATATTTGTGAAAATAAATATATTTATAGAAATTATCTTTTTGTTAAACTAATGTTTTCTCTTATTTTTGAAACGAAATATATTTAGAAATGACAAGAATTGAAGGATTCTTACGACAGATATGACATGTGAAGCACTGAATGTGATATACTTTTTCCATTGCCGTACAGCCACTGCCTTCGCCCAAAACTTTTTCTCCACATTTATGGCACATACCTATCAATACAATTGGCATTTAAAACAATTTGGTCATAAATATAAACAAACAATTAGCACAAATACTAGTACTAATATAAAAACATAAGGCCCGTGAGGCCAACGGTCACCTATAATCGGTGATTCTCCTCCTGAAGACATTGGAAGCAATAGTAGAGAAAAGCAAACAATTTTCAATTCATATATTTTTTGTAAATTATGCAAAGAATTCAAAGCGAAATATAATACAATTTTTCGCAAAATAATAATACAAATACAAGTCAAGAGCGGAGTTGTGTTGAAATATGCAATGAAACGCAAGAATTTTTATGTATTTATAGTTTACACGTAGAATACAATACAGAATGAATTTCAATACACTATCACATTGTAGTTATAGTGTATTAAGAAAAGGCTAAAAGTTATATACAATTTGAACGCCATATCAATTATATAAGAGCTTCGGTTGTGTTTATGTGACAAAACTGAATGACATATTCAACTCAATTTGTTTTCTAGTATTAAATGATTGCGTGAAATAAATTCCGATTCAATTCACATAATAGTCGACATAAGAATTAATAAGGATTTATAAATATTATCAGTTTTCATGTCACAAGTGATTATATATGTTGTAAAAACTTATCTCAAAAATAGTGACAAACAATTGCTGTCAAACTTATAATCAATGGTCAAAACTCACCAAAAAAGTCAGGATCTGAAGAGTTCTCCATACTTTTGACTAATAAATCAGTCAAATGGTCGACTTCGGCCTCCTTTCCGATTGTAGTTCTGCTCAAAGGATTGGCTGAAACAGCAGATCGAGAGCGACTGTTCGGTGGATAATATCCGGATGAATACAGCGAAGACAAACCACTGGCACTGCTATACGTCGATCGGTTTGACAGTTGACTTGAAGGCCGCGGAGTAATTGGTTCGTAGATTGTTTTCGTGTCGTATGTACTCTATTATAGCCAAACAGTTGGGAACAAACTTTTTAAGTCAAAAGCAAACAAAATATATATATTTTTCTTAAAAGTTATTTTTTAACGAAAAAAAGAGTGACTGAGTATTGAGTCGATTCCGGATTACGTTCCGTTCCGTTTGGATGAATCGAGTGGTTCTGTAGATCTGTAGGTGTTTTGGGACTACATTTTAACTCATTTTCTTCTTATTTTAAACAAGTGTTCACTTTTCACACGAAACTCTTTTCTATTTTTGGGAACTCATAAGAAAAACTGCGGCAAAAGTGATATTTCATTTAGTCTTGCAGTCAGTCATATATATCTAACCTTCATTTCTAATACTGTTTTCATACATCTCTAGATTTTTTAACTTTTATTAAACACTTCTTGTGTTTGTCCTTAGCTTTCCATTTATAACAACACGACTCGTCAGTAGTATTCGATGGCATATATTGTTATAATAGCTATGCATTCAATTTAAACACATATATCACTTAATCAATGAATAGCCTATTATTCCTTATATGTATTTACATTTTTTGGATACAATTAAATCATTAGAAACTTGTTTTTCTTGACTAACATATCGTTAAATAAGACACTTCTATAACGAAAGCCATAAATAAAATATTAAAGTAATTGAATTAGTCGTTTGACTTGAACTGCAATTTGTTAAATATTGAAAGTAAATAAAAATAACACAACAACTAAAATAGCGATTATTTATTATACAAAGTTGTAGTCGATTTGACTTCAATACACTTCTCTATAGGATTGTATGCTTTTATGTTTGCGGTTCTCTTGACTTCAATTCTGTGTCTCAAAAGTCGAAAACAAAAACTAATAAAATTTAGAGCAGAAGTAATGCCAACAAGTAATACATGTGTGGAAACTCCGGTGCGAGAGATCCACCCATTAATTCCCTTTCAGTACATCATAGTTAGCAAAAGACAACAAATTGCAAACGACATCACCAGTGGATCACTTGTGTCTCTCAACATAGACTGTGCTTCTCTTTTGGCATCATCTCTCTCTCTCTCTCTCTCTCTCTCGCACCGGAGTTTCCACACATGTATTACTTGTTGGCATTACTTCTGCTCTAAATTTTATTAGTTTTTGTTTTCGACTTTTGTTGATAAAAATGAAATGAAATTAAATAAATTAGTGACGAAAATAT